ATTTGATTCTTTTTGCATGTCAAACTCTTTGTTAAATAAGTTTTCTTTTTTTTTCACATACATAATGTATAAAAGACAGGCAGTTAGAGTTGAATTGATAAAAAAGAAAAAAAAGAATAAGATTGTATCATTTAGATATATCCCTAAACTTAATATGTATTATGATCCTATAAAAAAGGAAAAGAAAGAGGTCGAAAAAAAAGGTATTTGTGATATTTAATAATAATAAGAACAGTTATTAATTTCTTTCACTCACAATATAAATTAAATTATTAAAGGAACTGCTAAGTGGGATACAAGAATAGAAGAGGTAGAAAGAAGAACATTAGAAGTCAATTTACTGCCTCCTTTTCCTCCCAGTATAGTAAATGAATTGCGGAATCCTAAAAAACCTTGGAGATATGGTTATCTATTCAAAAATCGTCCTTTCATCTGATTAAGGGTAAATGTAGTCATGTGATTTATATTTAAAAATAATCTATAATCATATTATGTTACAAAAATAAACCAATTAAATCATTATATGTTTCATTGCTCTTTTTTAGTAATAATCAATTGTGATAGAATTTTTTACGTGTAATGTAAATATTTTTTTTTTTTTAAAAAAACACTAAAATGACGAAAAATAAATTCTTTTCTTCTTTTTTTTTGTAAAAAAAAAAAAAAAATTCGGACTCCAAAAATTTCTTCCAAAATGATAAATCGAGAATAAATTAATAAATTAATATATACATATATAATCAAATGTTGACTTCCTTTTTTCCGATCAACAATTATAATAATAACATTTCTTTGCCATGCGTATGGACATATTCAATAACGGATTGTCAACAAAACACACAATCGTCATCACTTCACATACTTTACTATATTTCAATTATAATATTATCAATATTATCAATACTCTCATTTGGTTTATTAATGTTTCGATTATGGTATAGGAATGGTTGTATATTTGATGATTGTTGTTTTTCACCATTGGAAGGGTTTTTGTTATGGATAATATTTTTTTGTTTTTGTATGCAACAAAATTTTTTATTGACTTCAAAAGGTTTTTTTAATTAATTAATTAATCAGTTTTATTTTTATCTTAAAAGTTAGAATATTTTCAAATGTTGTTCAATTATTTGACCTCTTCAAGTTAAATTATATTCTACGAAACATATTAAATTAATGAAACTCAAATAATAATAAAGGTAATAACAAAAATTTACTTTTCGAAGATTTTTTATTAATTTTAAATGTTTCATAGTAATTTCGCTCGGATCAGAATTTTCATTACTAGCGCCAAAGAAACGTAATTGTACATTGTTTTCTCGACTTCCGTCAGGTATAACACCTGATAGTATAAAGCTTTTTTGCGTCATTTTAATTAATGTTGAACCATAATAAAATAAAGTAACTGTAATTAAGGCATGTAATATTCCATAACAAGACCTTTAATTTGAAAAAGAAAAGGAAAGCAATGGTAAATTAATCAACAAGACAATTCAATCAAAAAGAATTCTTAAAAAATAGATAACTAGTTTACCAATGTAATCCATAAGCAATTGTAACTCCAATTTCATCATTTCTGATCCGTGATAAACCTTCATATACAGCAGCCAATTCT